TAGTCATGCATGCTAAATTAGGGCTCTCTCTTGGCGCTGGTCCCTGATTGCTTATCTTTGCCATGCACGTGACTTTCTGGTTTCCTACTGCTGGTTCCAACGCGTCGTGCCCCTTTGCATGCGCGCGACGCTCGAAGTTTTAGATCAATTGATCCCTAAACAATAGTCCAAATTCGCGGCCAAGTACCAGACTAGCGCTGTTCTTGGCTCTGCAATGCCCAACGGCCAAGCTATGACGCATTACCTAATTTCGCGCATTATGCAGCCTTGTACGAAATCGGACTAGCTTGTTGTCGTCTCTTGTGGAAAGAATGGAGACAAGCTTGAGGACACCAGTGCTCTATCAACTGGCCTGAAGACAGCAGTGGGCATGGATAAAGTTCCGTCATTAACGTAAAACAAGGTCTTCCCTGCAAAAACTTTTATTCCGTTGGGTGCCTTTGTCGACATACTACCTCGTAATTAAAAGAGACTGCGTGTGTCAATATATACGGATGGCGTTGACCTCATGCGATAACATGAAGCTACTGCCCTGAGTCAGGATCCTCTTGGCTTGACTACGGATACGTTACATGCAACTATACCGATATTCTCCATGTCACGTTCAATACCAACAGTAAACTAGATATAAAACGCGAACAATGGCTACACGAAGCTCTTTCTTTCAACCAGGCTGTTTACGCTCTACATCCAAGGTTCACATACTGCCAATAAAACTCTTTATCAAATTACTTCAAATATGATTCTTGGCGTATTTTTAGCTATTCTAGCCCTCTCCGTTGGCCTGAACGGACATGTTATCCAGCAACATGCCTCCGATTCCACCGAAGCCAATCTAGATTCGAGAGCACCGGGCATGAAATTTGTTCATCCCGGTGTATTCGTCGACAGACCCCAGCTACGGCGCATGAGGTCAATGGTCAAAGATGGTCAGCAGCCTTGGTCGAATGCCTACACAGCCATGATGAAGCATCCATACGCCCGAGTCACGGACCCAAAACCGCGGGAAAACGTCAATTGCGGTGCTTATTCCAAGCCGGATAATGGGTGTACCGATGAGCGGCGTGACGCCATGGCGGCCTACACGAATGCTTTGGCGTGGTTCACAAAAAAGGACCAGGCCAAGGCTGACGTCGCGATTTCTATTATGAATGCCTGGGCTAATACGATCAAGGAGCATACGGGGGGAAATGCGCCCCTTCAAGCTGCCTGGGCTGCCTCGCTTTGGGCTCGAGCCGGGGAAATCATTCGATATTCGGGCGCAGGGTGGAAAGAAGAAGATATTGCTACTTTTTCAACCATGCTTAAAAAGGTGTACCTCCCTATTGTCCAGAATGGATCCGACAAACCGAACAACTGGGAACTCAGTAGGCACTAAATCTCTTCCTACGGCTTTTCTGTATCACTAACAACATCCATCTAGTCCTCATGGAAGCTAGCATCTCTATTGCGGTTTTCGTCCACAACAGGGCTGTGTATAAGTCGTCTTTGGAACGCTTCATCAACTCGGCAAGCTACTACGTCTATCTAAAGAGGTACGGCCAGTCATGCTTCCTTCTTTTAATTTAATGCAAGTAATACTCACACGCTTCTTAGCGATGGCTCTGAACCACTCTTACCACCAGGAATGACTCGAGAGACACTGCTAAAACGCTGGTGGTGGGGTCAAGACACGTTCCAGGAAGACGGAATGGTCATGGAGACGTGTCGAGACCTTATGCACAGCAGCTATGGCATTGCTTCCATCAGCCATGTGGCCGAGACTGTGCGAATCCAGGGAAGAGACTTGTACTCTGAGGATACTGGCAATCGCTTACGACATGCACTTGAATTCCTTACAAAGTATGACAATAAAAGGGGTACTGAGCAAGCACCCGACTGGCTTTGCAATGGAAATGTCACCAAGAACATCAAGGACATGACGGAACCTGGATACAGCAATCTTAGTGACAAATATGACATGCCGAATACAAAGCAGTTTACGGCGGCTGCGCGGCCCGCGCACGCAGATTCTTTATTCATAGCGTGGGAGACATTAACGCATGCGACTGGGGAAGTAGATGTCTGATAATGTTATTAATAAAAGAAGCTCAAGAAAACTCTGCCAGTTTCTCAAATTAGCTTCAAAACTACTTAAACTAGCAAAGCAGCCACAGCTTAGAAACTCTTTCGAAAAAGGGGAACTGGATCCGTCTAGATTAATGTTCTGTTCGAGGCTGTATCTCGTCGCACTTTTACCACCATTCCATCAATTGGCTTTCCCGTAATCTGAATCGTCTAAGACCCTTCTTAACAACAGATCCTCAAATGGCCAGGGTGCGGTTGAAACTTACAGTATACAGTTTGGATTTGGTCGCGTATTGATTCTTGTCATTCAGACGAGGCTCCCCGCCCGAGTCCAGGTCCAACTCACCAATGCCCACCTTTTCAAACGCGTACCGATGGGCTATGAGTGCAGTAATTGCCCGCGCCTCGATATTCGCCAGTTCCATGCCGATGCAATTTCTCGGGCCCCTTTCAAACGGTCTCCATACGCTGGGCGGGAAGCCGTCGCTCTTGAGCCAACGCTCAGGCACAAAGTCTTCTGCCGTGTCCCCGTACACTGCTCGGTCGCGATGCATGATGTAGTGGTTCAGGTAGATCCAGTTTCCGTCAAGATTGTAGTCGCCTTGCGAGGTGGAAACGACGAGGCCCGTATTCGGCTTGGAAATGCGAATAGAGCCGGCGGGCGCGTAGAGTCTCAAGACCTCTTTGAGAACCGCAGAGATGTACGTCATCTGGTGAATGATTTCATCACCTCCGGGACCAAGAAGCTTCTGCGTTATTGCCGTTGGATCTTGTGTGGTTTCAGGTCCAAGTAGTCTTTCTAGCTCCTCGCGTACGGCTTTCAGCGCGTGCGGCGTCCGCGAGAGCTCATAGATGGTCCAGATAATCAGAGTGCTAGTAGTATCATGGCCTGCGAAAAGAAAGGTTTTCAGCTGATCAGACGTTTCGGCTAATATGTCGGGTGTGAGCTTCTCCACGTCCTGGAGACTGAGGGCCAGGATGCTCCGCGATCGACTAGTGTTGGATTCGGCTTTTGTGGCTTCAAAGTTGCAGGAAACAATAGCCTTTAATCTGTTGCTAATCTGCTGCCCAATGAGACGGCGCCTGATATGTCTATGAGGCATTAGCCACCAGGGGAGCTGAAGTTTATCGTCGGCATATGCTATTCAATTGTGGTGTTAGCCAGGCCTTGCCATGGTCGGTTTTTGATCGAGTGTACACACTTTTGATGAGTTGTTTGTAACTCTTTATCAGCTCTCCTTGCTGTGTCGAATCCACCTGTTGTGCATTCACATCTTCACCCATGGTCACAATACCGATAATGTCAAATGTGAGGTTTGTTGTGTGCTGGTCCAACGAGAAGCTTTCCCCTGTTTTGGCAAAGTGATCGAGGACTTCGAGGTAGGTCTGCGCCTTTTCGAGGATGACGGGCAAAAGTGTCATCAAATGCTGCGGTGCGAAGCCAGGGTTGAATCTCTTGCGAACGGCCTTCCATCGCTCATTCTTGCAGGGCGTTAGCCATCGCAACTCGAACGAAACATGTCGGGTGAATCTACCTGTTTGAGCAAGATTGAATTCGGTCCAATCAAATCCACAATATGGTCAACGGATGGCGACTTCATGACGCTATATGGAAAATCGGCGGAAGAGCGAGACACCTGCTCGGCCACTTCATGGTTGGCAACGACAACCATGGGGGGAACGATAGGCCAGTTGTCTAGAAGCATAATGGGCGGTTTCCCCAACGCCTCGTGCATCTCACTAATGATGACATCTTTTCGGGTCAGCTCTCGGTTGGCATCTGATGATGGTATGCAGACGTAGCGGGGTTACCTGGATGACGGTCGGGGATGCCTTGCTTAGTGAATTGATCAAACAAGCGTAGATGACCCCAGAGCAGAGACGGGGGAAGCTGAGGGATATGAGCATTCTGCCTGAAACGTCTGTAGTGCAACTTATTGTAGAGGTATGCGCCTGCAAGGAGTACTGAAGTAACCAGGACCGCTTGCACGGAAACAGACGCAGGAAAGCCCATCTTGTTGGGGTTGATGCCACAAAGGGCCGAAAAGAATCGCGGCTGCTCAGTACAGAGAGTGAGAGAGAGAGAAGCGAGGCCGGACTTTGTGAGCTCAAATGGCCTCGCGGCACGGCGTCGATAAGCGGCACGTACGGAGTACGCGGTAGGTATTCTTCTCTTTTGAAATCCTGGGCGCAACAAGCCAGATGAGGGGAAAAATAAAGATTAGGTTACACAAAGCTGCGACCCTGAAGTTTCATCGCTATGGGGAGTGTGGCTGTCGGTGGTCGGGCGTTCAAATGGTGCCCGTTGGTTTCTGCGGGTGGCGTAAGCCTACGACGTATGTATGCGTGTTGGCTGGATGATTTGGCAGAAGAGATCGGCGATCCATTTATAGGAGTAAGCTGACTTGGACCAACACAATACCCTCGAGGTCAGCCACTGGGTGCCATCAGCGAGGTGCCTGTAATCCATCATTCGAGGCTTGGAACCTGACGCGTATCCTGCATGTCGCCGAGCAGGGGCCACTGAGAAGAGCCTTGCATGTGTGTGACAAACGAGACAGCACTTGAGCCACCTCTGGTTCCGAGTGTTGGCTTCTTCCCTGGAACGCGTTTGTCGTAAATTTGGGGGTAGTATTCCCGTCTCACCTCCTTCGTAGCCTCCCAAGCCAACCGAGTACAACATACCGCACGAATGAGAGCAATCCCGCATTGCGCATAATACCACAGAGTGCTTGTTGATGGATGAGATTAAAGTCGGGCATGTGCCCAACTCCAAGGTTGGCACATGAGTGAGTTGTCCGCTGCCGCAACATCAAGAATAGATCCCAAGCGACATCAAGGACATGGAGCGAATGACATCATTCTGTTAGACACCAATAATCACTACACAGCTACGCTAATGTGACATTTTCCAACACACAACCTCCGTTCTGCTACCCTGCTCGTCCCCTTTCAGCGCTGGCGGCATGCGAACCATTTTTTCCATTGCCCAGATATCTATGGTAGTCCATGTCGATGGAGCGCAGCTCCGAATACGGCACCATGTGAATTTCAGTTGCTTGCGTTACCGTTATGGTCCCTGACGACGGCGTTCCTCGTGGCTTCTGCGAGCCAAGGTTCAAGGATAGCCAACGTCTCCCAAGACGGTTCGGATCTGGCGCCGGGCTTCCCTTGCCAGCCTCCAAATTACGAATGTCGGTCGACCCTTTGGATCTCGCCCCCCAGTAGCGCCGCCACGATGAAGTAGTGACCGATAGCTGGGTCAGTAGACCCTTCAGCAAGGGGACAATGACGGGAACACAAGCACAGACGATGCCGAGATTGATCTCGGCAACACTACAGCGTCAAAGTCAGCGTTAGAACCAGACCACGACGTATATAAATATGGCACTGACGCTAAGCCGTATGATGGGCATGAAACCCAAAACGGATCAGGAGTACCATGGACCATGGTCAGTCGATAATTCTCAATTCGTGGAGACAGCCCAGCGACAGAAAAGGCGCAGGCTCTGGACATGGTCGGCAGCGTCAGCAAAAGTACTGCCCATCAGGGTGGGGGTTGGAAGGTACAGACAAGAGACCGGTTACAAAGAGAGCCGAGACACCAAACTTCTTCTTGGTCGATAGGTTGAGGCTGGATATCGCCGTGATGGGTATGGCAATGATGTAAAAGTCTGTGAATATGGCCAACGCGCCAAATACAACACTAATGGGCGGCGTGTCCCTGCCAGTTCTCACTTGGTAGATTGTATCCGACCAGCCTTCACCCTGGTGAGGAGCGCTGTAATATATCCATGCCCCGAGCAAGGTGGCGTAGGATGCGACGGTGAAGCCGATGCCGGCCCAAATCATCATCTTGCTCCTCCGCGATCGCGCAAAGATGCGGAGGAACAGGGCCAAGAGAGAAACCTTGGTCAGGGCAGCAGATACATCGTACATTGCGGTTATCGCGCAGGTTTCCTACTTGACCGTCATTAGCAGGGCTCTTCGTGTGTAGGGGGAATGCGGCAGGGCTACCTTCATCAACTCGGATGTTGCGGCGCTGACCGGTATGTCCCAGAAGTGGCGGCCATACATGTCGTCGAGTACTAGAGAATGGTGAGATAAAGAGGGTTGAAATCGAGGCAAAGTACTTGCGTTCAGCCAACAAGATGCCGCATAGTCCCGAGCTGGCGCACTATATTGACACATTAGACCTTGGTACACAAGCGCCGGAGCATGAACATGCTATGACCAACACCGGAGAGTATGGAGAGATCTTGAGACGATTAGTATAAAGGCGGCACGGCCAAGCTATTGGATCTCCGTACAATCATCCCAGCCCAAGCTGTGCTTCATGCGAATGCGAGTACCGATACGCATTATTATAAAGCACAGGGCCACGGGAAGAGTAGTGTAGATGGCGAGCCGAGGGATCCAAGCCTGAGATTCAGCATCCAGCAGATTGCTTTGCTGCCCAGGAGGCGGCACCCCGAGGGGGACTTTCGTATAGTCTAGCCCGTCCATGGTATGATGCGGCTGGGATGGGCGGTTGTTTGATGGCCGAAATAGCCGACACTTGCGAAAAGTGCGAAGAGGAAACTGCAGAGATTTAAGAAGTCTTGGTGGAATGATGGCCTGCTTATGCCAAGTCAGACAGACGAGGCTGGAGGCTCGCCAATACTCCCACCCTGATGCTGCCATGGCCTCCAACTTGTCAGACACCCATTGCGCCCAAGTATGGTTACCAGTCAGCGGATCCTACAGTCGAAAATGCAAGTGTCCGTTTCAGGCGGCACTAAAGCTTGGTTGCGTGATATTCCTAGACGGAGATGGGTGGCATGCATGGCTATGTCAGCCCGTACGCCGGTCAAGTCTCCCTCATGGATTAACTGCCAAGTGCATCCAAGACTAGCGGGCTTATAAAGAATGATGTGCTCCGTACGGCGGTTACCATAGTCGTCGATAGCATAGTTGCTTCGAGACGCGCCTCGTCAGCATGGTCCGGAAATAGGCCGTTGGCTGATTTGCAAGATTACGAGAGCCTCACAACGTCTCGAGGCTTCTCACATGATATCTGTAATGGTATACAGCCTTGAGTTTGCCGGTATTACTCGGTGCATCTTAAAAAACGCACAAACACCCTTCTTGTTTGCGCAAGCGCCATGTTGGGACTAGACACGATGACGGTTTGCGAACTTGGTATTGCATGCCCACCAACCTGGGTTTGTGTCTTGGCCATTGTGATTGCCACACAGTTAGTTGTATTCGCTCATCAACTTATCCGGTTTCACTACACGCATCGATCTCCTGGCAATGGAAAGATACCGCCCAAGTACCCATTCCTCATCCCCTACTTGGGAGTTATCCTCCCGCTCCTGCGAGACACGAGAGAGACTCTAACCCGTCTTACGTGAGTGAGTGCGCCTGTTTCATGCTTGTCTGAGAGCTAACCGCCGTGGTGTGGAGATGTTACAATGGGAAAGCAACCGTTGCACGTGTACCAATACTCCCCGGCATCGATGTATACTTGTATCAGGACCCAGATATAATTGAGCGCATCTGGAAGGTCTCGTCGTTGTTGGATTTCCGCCCTATGGCTGTTCATTTCCTCCGAAACGCGTGCGGCCTGTCTCGCGAGTCTGCCAACTTGTATCTCCTTGACAAGACGGGCATGAACGCGAAGCCTTTGCCTGGCACAAGCTGTACAGAGCACCCGCGGGTGTATCGTAAAATCTACGAAAGCGATCGCCAGGCGTTGATAGGCCCTGGGCTGGATCCAACGCTGCAACGCTTTATTGATGCCTTTTCCAGACGAATGGCCGTCTTCACGGCAACAGAGTGGATAGAGATGGAAGACTTCTGGACCTGTATCCAACACACGGTTGCTGCGGCTGAGATAGAAGCCATCTTCGGGCCCAAGTTCTTGGAAATGCACCCCGATTTCATCAGTCTCTTCTTCGAGTATGATCGTTTGATCCCCTCACTGCTCAAGATGCTTCCATTTAGCAGGGCTGAAAGGCTCCGTTCCAAGCTCCACGGCAAATTCAGGTCTTGGGTAAGACGTACCAGGAAGAATCACGCCGCGGCACCCAACGACAATGAGGGCGACCATGACCCTCATTGGGGCTGTCGCTGGACCCGATACCGTCACGAGGCATTTCAGCCGTTCTTCGACGACGATGCCATTGCATCTATTAATGTTGGTGTAGCCTGGGGGTAAGTGGTGCGCTGTTGAGTTGCGTGACGCGCAGGGCCGAGATTGATATTGACGTGATGGCAGTGCGTTGGCCAATACAACCCCTTGCGCCATGATGGCCATTATTCATGCTCTTCAAGACGCCTCCCTCCATCAACGACTGCGACAAGACCTGGACGAGCTTTGTAACGGGAAATCCCTCAAAGATGTACACCACAAAGAGTTGACAGGACACGTTCTCTTGTCGGCTATATTCGCCGAGACGCTGCGCCTTCACATGACGGTCTTGATGCCGGTGATTCCGCTCGACAGCGAGCTTGATTTGGGCAGGTGGCGCATTCCTCGAGCGAGCTGGGGATTTATAAACGCCGGTGTCGCCCATCACAACGAGCATGTCTGGAATACCAAAGATGGTCTTCATCGGGTAGAGTCATTCTGGGCCGATCGGTTTATAGTCGACCCAGCCGATCCCTCGAGCGGACCGTCTCGCCATCAGAGTCGGCACCAGCATGCCCAGTCTCGTCATGACGATGGTCACAGCAGCAAACCCTATTTTTCTCTCGAGGGGCTCGAGGGTTCCTGGGTCCCGTTTGGTGGTAAGCAGCCGCGATGATTACAAGCTGCAAACGTGTCTGTGAGTCCGCTAACCATGTGTCGAGTATAGGTGGACGAAATATGTGCCCAGGCCGCTTCCTCGCCAAAGGTGTCATCACGTTCGCCCTGGCTACGATGGTGAGTCAGTATGACATTGAGCTTCTCACAGACACGATTCCGACGGGCAGAGACCGGTTCGGAATTGGGGTAGAGCTGCCAACGCGCAAGATTCCCTTTCGCATCAGGAAAAGAAGAACGCCCAACGGCACTCATTAACCGCGTCGCGATTTCACAACCGAGTAAATTTGCCAGTATCAAGTTGCTTCCAAGTCTGGACACATAACGAACATGGTATCTTTCAGCGCCTGCCTGCAGGGCTTTTCAGGCCCTGTGGCTGCTGCAACATGCGATGCCGAGAAGGATGGGACATTGCTATTTAGCGAGATGAGCGTACTCGGGAAATGAGGTAGTTATTGACCACTCTGCGGACATGGAGCGGGCACGGGTACATTGGGGGCCATGGCCATCAGAGGGCATCAGCATTGCACTGTTCGTCAATATTAGTTTGTTGCACACACGTAGCCTTGTATGTACATACGTCTCATAAATAATGCCTGTTTATGACTTCAACTTGGGATGGAGCAGACCTCGCCTCTGGAGTGTCACGCTCGCACAAGATGCTCCGTAGACGGATGCCAGAACCTAACCGATTCGTTGCTGGAGGGTATCATGACATGCATGCGGATGCTTATGGAAATGGAGGGGGTCGCTGCGAAACAGTCATCTTATTACTAATCATAATCCATTATTCATGTCGTAAATGCAACCCTTCATAGGCACAGCCCCAACATGACCAAGGCTGGCCTTATATCTTGTCGGCCAACAACGGGCTGTTGGTTGCACGGGCGACTCTGTTGGTTACACGAGACGCGCTGGCGCATGCGGTGCCACGAAACAATATTGGGCCCAGTCTTGCCATTTCCGTTTAGTAACTATACTTTTAATTCCGCCAGAAGTTTACATGTGTTCTTGTACTCCGTACTTTCAGCGTGACAAACGGCACGGGTGGGTGTCAAGTGCGCAAAGCCCGACGAAGGTGGTCGATCGAGACATGGAACATCTGGGCTGTTCAGCTCTTTTCAACTCTGCTGCAACTCCTCCAAGTACCGGTCATGGGTATGGATTACGTGTTGGCTTGAGGGCTGCCCTTCATTTCGCGTCTGGTGCCTGTCATGTGCCCATGTACGTGATGCCCTCCTCTGGCAACCATTGAGCCTGCAACGAAGCTGCCATTCATCTTGCTCGACACCGCTGCATTTCACTAGTTAGAGAGGTACAGTATTTAGTCAACCGCTTTACAGGATTCATGTTCTGACTTTTTGCTTTTATATATAATCCAGGTACCACGACCACACTGCCGCAGTACTCCCAGCGTTCCAAGCGTTCCATGCCGCGACAATGGAGACTCAGCATGGGATTGAACCTCCAGAAGTCGCCGACAGTGCTGGCTCTTATCAAGCGGTCCTTGAAGAGTGGCTACGTACACAAAAAAGCCGTCGCCGTAGTCGAATCGGCATCTCTTTTCGCAACCTCCAGTGCATCGGTCGCCGAGCGTCGGAACAATATCTAGACACGTACATATCGGCTCTTACGAGACCATGTCGAGCCATACGGTCGCGACAACAAGTTCAGATCTTGTCTGGATTCGAAGGCTTGATACTCCCAGGAGAGATGCTCCTGGTTCTGGGACGCCCTGGCAGCGGGTGCTCAACATTTCTCAAAACGTTATCAGGAGATACTCACAGCTTCCATGTTGGCGCAGGATCAGTCATCAACTATCAAGGTATTGCTCAAATCAACATGTACCCGTCTCAGGCTGAAATCAATAAGCTCAAATTTTATTTACCATGCACAGGAACGTCCTTCAAAGAAATGCACCGCAGCGCACCCGGGACATGTATCAACCTTGGCGAACTCGATGTCCACTTCCCAGAGCTGACTCTAGGTCAGACCTTGGAGTTTGCAGCTTCCACTCGGCCCAGACACAACCTGGCTTCTGAGCAACACGATGATACGCAGAGAGCAGAGGGTACGGCGCGCGTGATTGCCGCGCTATTTGGCCTGAGTTCGGGATATGATACGCGGATGGGAGATGCCCTCATCAGGGGTGTAAGCGGTGGCGAAAAACGACGGACAAGCATTGCCGAGGCCTACATTGGCGGAGCACAGGTACAATGTTGGGATAACAGCACCCGAGGGCTGGACAGTTTAACGGCCCAGCGCTTTATTGACTTTCTCCGACGTTCGACGGACGTGCTGCAGTCTACGGTTGCCATGAGTTTATACCAGGCCTCGGAATCCATGTACAAGGTGAGGCTCTTGGTCGCAAGTCCAGCTTTCACCCAGGCTCCGGTTAATCCCAATTAGCAATTCGATAAAGTAATGCTCCTCTATGAGGGTCGTGAGATCTACTTTGGGCCCGTAGACGACGCTGCAGACTATTTCACAGCCCTCGGCTTTGCCAGGCCCATCAATGCAACCACTCCGGATTTCTTGACATCCATGACGAATCCAGCGGAGCGTGTTGCTCGAGAAGGCTGGGGCAACCGGACGCCGAGATCGCGGGACGATTTTGTCTCGGCGTGGAACATGAGCCGTCAGGCTAAATCGCTCCGTGATGAGATTGCTGAGTTTGAGTTGGCAAATCCCGTCCATGGCAGAGGTTCTAGCCACT